CCCCCCCCAATGATGCAGTGTTCTCTAAACTTACTTGACCAGAGGGCATATTTTCCCTCAGACTATATCCATCAACATCTCAGAGTTCATATGTTCCACAGAACACATTTTGGGACATGCTGTTGTTGTATATGTCTACATTTTATTAATCAGAATTCTTTAGTAATTGGGAATACAAAGATACTATGTATAATAATTATACCAAGATATTGCAAAAATTCCATATGATCCTGAGCATGAAAGACAAAACAAGTCATACTTGATATAATATATGATCCTGAGCATGAAAGACAAAACAAGTCATACTTGATATAATTCACTTGAAATCCTATATATATATCTTATATATATCATCCTTTATATACCACAATACATACTTAACAGGAATTCTTTTCAAATACATTTATTCTCTAACATAGAACTTTCAGTTCTTTACTTTTGCCATATTATGAATAGAAATGGAAACCATAATTGGATACAGGACTCAGTGACAGAAAAAGCACAGCACCATTACATTCTTACCTGTGATTCTCTTTTAAAAATGCAACATTATAACGAGACTCAGGTGTAGGCAAAGAGGAAACAAGGGCATCAACTTTCATAACAAGGTCACTCTTGCTAGATAAACAAGATAAACAATGTATGAGTTTTCAGGAAGAGAAATGTCCATATTTGTGTCACAATTAATACTCCAGGGAGGGGAAATTTAATTTAAAATACTTCCAAAGGATAAACTTCATATAAATGATTTTTCTTCTAGACTTGCTACTAAATAGAATTTGTCAGTTTAAAATAGGATGACTTGCTTTTAAAATCACCTTTTTTCTTGTGATTGATATGATCTTCAAACACTTATTAAGTAGTGTTTTCAACAGAGTCTACAGAAATGTGGTGAATCATTCAGCTGAGTGCTGGTTATATGTCTAAGCACTGGGGCCCACACAGCAAAGAAAGAAGGGGAGAAAAAACAAAAAGTAAATAATGGGATATCTACTTTCAAATAGTTTTTAATATAGTTAAGAAGCCCATATTTCTATGGCTTTTAATTAGTTTGAAAACTAAGAATGCACAAAATAAATACCTAGATTAAATATAACCAAATTTGAAAATCTATGATGGAGAAAATGTATTATATATTCAAGGATATGTTGGGATAGAATGTTCTGGCTAAAATTTACAGAAGTCTTCCTTAGGAGAAAGGAAGGAAGGCAGGAAGGGAGGGAGTAGTCAAGAATCTTGTCAGTCTCTCTCTACTATATCATTGTTTACCAGAATGTAAGTTCCTGAAACTCAAGATTTTATGCTAAAAGTGGGTTTCTATTCATAACACCTACCATATTTTTCACAGAGCACTGCATTTAATGGCCACTTAATAAACATATATTAAATTAATTAAGCAAAATCATAACCTATGTTACTAAACTCTTAAAGTTACTTACTGGACACATAGTCTCTAGTAAACAACACTGTAGGCACAATGGAGGGAATATTTATGCCCCCCATTCTTCTTAAACTGGGCTGACTGCTTAAGTAGTACATATGTACTGAGAAGAGCACAGATGAACAAAGAAAAATCTTTGTGGCCAAATAACCTGTTCTTAATTCTCTGCCAAATTTTCAGCTCTCCAGGTCAATTTTTCTCGTTTTGAAAAGTACTTTGAACTAAAGAAGGGAAAGGGCACTAGAAACTCAGCACCTACTGCTTCAGAACTGGAGACAACTCTCAGGACAGAACTAGTTATAATCATCCCATTAGAGAAATAGATTTCATGTGCTCCTCGGGATAAGGGTTCCAAGGTTTCTGTTTTTGGCATTCAGAGTTCTACCTACCTCATTAAATAACTCTTGAAAAGCATAATAATAAGAATGCAAACCTTTAACATATGTTTAGATTTAAGTGAATGTGAATTTATTCTAATTAAAATACAACTTGTTTAGCATTATTCCTATGCATCTAACAGCTTAAGACAATTAGAGGGGATGTTGTTATAGTTTAATGTTATTGATTTTTGGTGGTGGTTTTGGCTTGAAATGCAGCTTTAAAGTGGCTAAAATAGCTTCCCAAACCTACTTTAAACTATACTTACATTATATATATATTTAAACCTTGTTTGGTAATACATATATATATATATATGTATTACCAAACAAGGTTTAAAAAATTAGCTCTGAAATTTTAAATTATATTTATAACATTCATCACATAATTACTGAATTATATGTTTTTAAATATATATTAGTCCTATATTATTAAACTGTAAAATTATAAATTTTTTTTGCTTTCTAAAGTTTTCTTTTTGCTTTACTGCATGTGAAAATAACTATGGGTATTATCTCTTCACTGTAGAAAAGCCCTTACTTTACTACTTTACACACATTTGTAATTTTCTTTTAACATTACTTACTAAATGATAAACTTTTTTAAAAATATCATTTCCTGAAGGATAAATTAAGGACATCAGTTTGATCTGGATCGGAATTCTGTATTCAAGAGTAAGAATCAGAACTTTAGCTCTGAAAAGATGACCAATCCCCCCCCAAAAGAAAGATAACCACCCCCTGACATTCATCAGTCTCATCTATGCTTCCATGTCATTGAATCGATTCTGTTTATCAGTTTATTAAGTTCTTTAGATTCCACGTATAAGCGAAATCATGTGATATTTGTCTTTCGCTGCCTGGCTTATTTCACTTAGCATAATATTCTCCAGGTCCATCCATGGAGGAGGGCAGGTGGGGGGAGGGGGAGAGAGTAACCAAAGAATTTATGTGCATATATACACAACCCAAGGACATGGACAATGGTGGGGAGAGAGACTGGGGAGGGGGAAGGAATGGGGTGGAATGGGTCATTGGGGAGAAAAAGGGACATCTGTAATATTTTAAACAATAATAAAACTTAAAAACAAAAAAGAAAGAAAGATAACCACCCCCAATACCTACCTATATGCTTTAAGATGCATGGATACAATGAAAGTAAAGAATAAAAAAAGATATAACAGAAAAATATCCAAAAAGAATGTCGACATGGCTTAAATACCAGACCTCATAAACTTTAAGACAAAGTCATTATTAGGAAAGAAGTAATTTATATAATGATGAAAGGAATAATTTACTAGAAAGATAATTCTGAATCAGGGTATACATAACAATATATAGCTCAAAATATTTAAAACAAGAATACAAAAATTAAATAATATATCCACAATTCTAGTGGTAGTGTTTAACAAAGTTCTTTTAGTAACTGACAGATAAAACAAAGAAAAATTCAGTATTTTGATGTGAAAAAAAAGTTCAATCTAATAGACACACCTAAAATCTTCCACACAATTAGAGAAAATGTTATTAAAAAGTATGAAACAATTATAAAAATTAATTTTGCCTTAACAAAATTAGGAAAAATAAATACCATAATGAAATATTATCAAAACTTATGTAATACAGCTAATAAGTGTTTAGAGAAAAAATTCAAGCCTGTAATTTAAGGATATGTAAAGGAAAAAAATCTGGTATTAATAAGCTAAGAATCCAAATCGAGAGGTTTATAAATACACAGATTAAAAAGATACAATAAAGAACTAAAATTGATAAAAGCAAACAAAAAACAATTAAGAGCCTATCATGTCCTAGATCTACATATATGAAAAAACCAGTAAAATAAATATATCCCTCACTAAACCGAGCAAACTAAAATAAAAGAAAGGCCAACATAAATCAGAGATTTAAAAACTGGAAGTTAAGGAACAAAGCTCTTATAATTCACAATTGACATGAGCTCTAATATTAGACAAAATGTTACAAAAATAAGAGTCCAGCAAGGAAGATTAATATAGAAGCTCAATACTGTTTCTGTAAACTAGCAAAAAATAATAATTTAAAAATATAATATAAAATACAGCATTTACAATCTGAGCTAAAATTGTAAAATACTAGGGGGGAAAATCTAAAAAAAAAGGCAAGATTTCATGGAAGAAAATTGAAGCTTTACTGAAGACCTCCCTTAAAAATACACACCAAATAAGTGTGTCTATCTATCTACATATTAACATGTATACTTACATATAAATTATACACTGCATATATTACAAATATTATTTATATTATAAATATATGTGTATATTTGTATAGCTACATATAAATAATATACATGTATTTTATAAGTACAATAATTCAATATTATATAAAGATCACAATTCCTTAATCTAATCTATAGATTCAAATAAATTCCCATAAAAGTTCCAGGAGTGTTTTGGGTAGAACTTATTATGCTGGTTCTAATCATATTTACACTGCAAAGCAAAGGGCAAAAAAATAGTCAAAACAATTTTAAAGATGAGGCACAAGGGGGAGTTTTTCCTATCTGCTATCAAAATTTATTTTAAAGCTGTGGTAACCAGAGTGTGGGATTGACATGAGGCAACAGACCAGGGAACAATGTAAAAATCCAAGAAGAACTAAAGATATAAATCAGAAAAAAAGCAAAACTTTTAGAAGAAAATAAAAGATAACATCTTCACAAACTCAGACTAAGGAAAATTCTTATACCTCCTCCTCTCTCTCTCTCTCAGATCATAGATAAACTATGAATGAACAACTCTGATACTATTTTTTCATTAAAATAGAAAATCTCTCTATATATGGTAACATTTTATAATAAAAAAAGTAAATAGTCAAGTCACAAACAAATATTATACTTGTAGAACATACAATTGATAAAGATTAATATACAGAATCATAAACAATATGTTTACAAATCACTAACAGGAGAAAATAACCCAACAGATAATCACATAAAAGATATGAACAGGTATTTTACAGAAGAACAAACATGAGTGAAAATAATAATATGAGCAGATACTCAACTACAGTAGAGCTCAAAGAAATGCAAATTAATACAAGATACAATTTCACATCCATCAGACAGGAAAAATTAACAAGTCAGATAACACCAAGTATTGGTGAGGATTTGGGGAAACAGGAATTCATACATTTCTAGTGGGAGTATTGATTGTTCCAACTACTTTGAAAGACAAAATTTAGCAATATCTGGTAAAGTTGAAAAGAAGCATATCCTACAACCCAATAAACACACTCCTCTACTCTAAACTCACACATTACATGAGGAGACATTAAGCAGGTTCATTATAGCACTTCTGTAATAGTAAAAAACTAAAACCAAGTTAACTGTACTTCAGTAATGGATCGTAGAAATGAACTTCAGTATATTCATAAAATGAAATCCTAAGAAGAGTTCAAATGAATGAGGAAGCTCTGCATCAATGAACGTGGATAAAGCAAAAGGAGTCTATTGTGTAAGAGCATTTCTCTAAAGAAGTCAAGGCATCCAACACAATCAAAACTGATTATGTGTATTTACATATAAAGCAAAAGCAAAACCATGAATATGGGTGTCAGATACACAACCTTTAGGAAAATGTTTAGGAAAATGGTTGCCTCTTGGGAAGGGAGGAGATTGGGATGAGTGGGGTAGACAGAAAAACAGTAAGATTCAAGGCAAATAAAACAAAACATTAACATTGATGGTTTGGTGATAGGGAGTAAATGGATGTCTTTTATTATTTCTTTATATTCTCTATATGTCTTTTGTTCTATCTTAACTTGTGTATGTATTGAAACATTTTCTAATCTTAAAAACAAAAAAGGAATGAGATGGAAAATACCAAACCCGGAAATGAATTGCTCTATGATTTTAAATACTTACTTTTTTGAGTTGATTGCCATATTTTCAACAATGCCTTTAATTTTCTCTGCTAAGTTAGTAAATGTTATCTTTTCCAATAAGAAGAAATCTTCTTCACAGAAATTTTCATTTAAAGGTCCTAAGAACTTAAAATAAAAGCAGTTACTGTATATCTTCTAGAAGATAACAGTTATTTCATGAAATATTTTTTCATGAAATAGATATTTCTTTAAGCAAAAATCAGTTAGAGACTAAACAGATGGTGGCCATCAATCCCACCATTTACTAAACCCACTGGGATAAAAAAGAAGAGAAATAACATTTGCATAAACACCAAAATTAAAGTAACAAAAAGTAGCAAATTATTTCCATTTGAAAGTTTTACTTTGAAATATAATGCTTCCAAAAACCTAAGACTTTTCATTCTCAAGTAAATGAGCTATTTCATAAATCTTTTAATTTCAATTTTATTTTGTTTATCTATAAACTGTAGTCCATACAAGTAAACATTAATATATAAGCAAGGCATAAAAGAGTAAAAACCAAGGGACAAACCACATAATTACTTAATAATACTAACCAGTCTTCACGTAACTGATGGATAAATGGTTTGGAGCTCAGCATGGTCATGTAGACTAGCTTTAAACCAGTTAAAGGTTTACAGAGGGGTTAGCTGTCAAACTGCCACATATCTAATTTCTCAAGATGGTTATTCCATCACAACTACCACCAATTCTACTACCATTAGCATTTTCTAAGAAAACTAATACATGCAATCACCATACTATTATGAACACAAACCCTGATGCAGAAGGTGGACCTGAGATAGCCTTATGCATTAAACAGTTGTACTCAATGACAACCAGAAAATATGTCAAGTAGAATATTTTTTTCTTAGTAAAAAGATCAGAATGAAATGGTTACAGTATTTCCTCACTTCCCCTTCATCTGCTTCTGCAGTTAATAGTTTCTAAAACCTAATGAAGTATAGTTCTTGAATCTTTCTTTTTTGCCCATGTCACAGGTGATATCGTCTTTCACCTTAAACATAAAACATGGCTCTTGAGTCTCAGAGGGAAGGCAGGGGGTGGGGGAAGGGAGAGATTAACCAAAGAATTTATATACGTGTATGTATAACCCAAGGACACAAACAATGGTGTGGTGAGGGAATGGGGAGGAAGGTGAAGGGGTCAATGGGGAGAAAAAGGGACATCTGTAATATTTTGAACAACAAAAATAATAATAAAAATGCACTGGTTTCATGTTATCTGAGAAAAAATAAAAAATTAAAAAATGGATACTATAAAACTAAGAGTATACATATAAACATATCATCACCTTAAGATTTTGTATCATTTTTAAAATAACTTTGAAAGCACTTTCAAAGTTGTATGCTTTGGACTACGAATAGGAGAGGCCTAGAAAATAGTTGAAATTTTATCTATAGCACCTCTAGTGACTCAAGCAGTTTTGTTAATAGCACACAATAAGAAAATAAAACCTCAAATTATTTTTTAAGGAATTAACAAGACGGCTGCTTTTACTGATTAAATTCACCGGAGAGTCAACTCTATTTCACTTATGTTAAGTCCAGCATCAAAGACCTAGGAGAAACTTGATTCTTTTGTGTCTTCAGTTCTTCTACTTAGAGTTAATATGATATTTGTGAATCAAAGTAACTTAAATAGTATAAAATCACATCATGTCCATGTTGGGAAAAGGAATATTAAACTTGAAAATCATGCATTGGTACAATAAAACCTATCTTGTGCTTAAATCTTCTTTACAACATTTTAGAAATGTGATTTTTCAGTTATACAGAATAACTGCTATAATAGAAATGGCATTACCTCTTTTGACAGCTTATTAGAATTCTAGAAAACTCTTGAGAGTGCTCATCCACACACTGAGCTAAAAATCTCTCTCCACTCATGGAAGTTTGATCAACTGGTCTTAATTCTATACTGACTCTCATCAGGTGCACCACAAATCAATCTACAAATGTACCCACGGTATCCCATGACAGCCTTCAAATATTTAAAGAGAAAACAGGAGTGAATATTGACTGAAAATCTACTCAGTGTCTTGGGCTGTTCTATGTGCTTTATGTATAAAAGTATACTTAATCTGACAACTCTATAAACCATACTATTCCCATTCCCAGTGTACAAATGAAGAAACCAAGCCTCACAGAGGTGATATATTTGTCTAGCTTTGTCCAGACTTATCTAGCTTAAGGAAAAAAAAAGGCCTTGCTTGTTTCCCTATTCTCTACTACCCCATGTCTTTCAGCAATTTGTAAATATGTAGTATGATCAAAATATTGTAATTATAGTAACAGCATTTTTTAGGGTTTTATTTGATATTAAAGTAGATAAATTTTTAATTCTTCAGCATGCAGTAAGAAAGTATCATTGTTGGTTGCCAGATGGGAGGAGGTTAAAGAACAGAGTGAAAAAGGTGAAGGGATTAAGAAGTACAAATTGGCAGTTACACAATAATCACCGGCATGTAAAGTACAGTATAGAGAATACACTCAATAATATTGTAGTAATGATGTATTATGTCAGGTGGGTACTAGACTGATTGTGGAGATCATTTCATAAGTTATATAAATGTCAAACCACTATGCTGTACATCTAAAACTAATATAATATTGAATGTCAACTGTAATTGAAAAATAAAAAAATGAAAATGAAAAAAGTACGATTGGTTCCAGTTTTGATCATTCATAATTTTAATTTTGAATATGTTCCAATTCTAATGTAAACATTTGGACAGGTTCAGAATGAAGATTAATGATAAACTGTCAGAATTATGTCAAACATGAAACTATTTGATTCAGAATGATAATTATCTGCCATAATTGCTGCAATTATTGTGCTTTATTACTGAGAGTAATAAGCTAAATATTACATTATAGTTATAAACCACAGAACTTGTTTTCAGATATAGTATACTTTTCTATTCAAACTACGGTTGTATAAATAAAAGAATGATCACAACTACAATTTCTATTTATCAACACAAAAAGTCAACATAATTTGATATATTATTTCTAGCCCCCAACCTCTACCCTGATTCAGGTCATAGGATCAACTACCAACTCAACAAGCCTACCTGGAGATCCAGAACTGAACACTGAACTCTTAATATGTCTAGAACTGAATTCTCTACGTTTCCCTTTCCACTCCTCCTGAACCTCACTCCTCTTGCAGTCCTTCTCACCTGAATACACAGCAACTCCATTCTGCTAGTTACATAGTTCCACACCCCACATCACGTCTAACAGCAATTCCTGTTCACCTTTCCTCCTAAACATATACCACACCCACTTTTCACTACTTCCACTATAGCCACTGTGGTGTACGCCATCATTATCTCTCACTTGGACTACTGAAATACGTTCTACCAGGTTTCCTGACCCCCTATAGTCTATTCTCAATGTAACAGCCACTAGAGATACAAATAAAGCACAGGTCAGATCATGTCAACTCCCTGTCCAGAACTATGAACCTCACCTCATTCAGAGTAAAGCAGGAATTGTAAACTGCCTATAAAACCACACTGATCTGGTCCACAGCAACTTTTCTGAGCTTCTCTCCTGATACTCTCAGTGTAACTGCTATTCCTAAAACATACAGTCACAATCTCATCTCAGGATCTCTGTACTCACTGTTACCTCTACCTAGAAAATTCCTCTTCCAGACATGGCTTACTCCCTCACCTCTTTTGATTCTCTGCCCAAATGACACCTTATTTGTTATCTGTCTCTGCCCATGAAAACATGTTCGTTCACTACTATACTCTGAAAATCTAGAAGAATGTTTGGTTCACAGCAGATGAAAAATTAATATCTGAATATTTTGGCAGTTTCAAAAAAAAAGAAAATATAGTTCTAGGAGAAGTTGAACATAACTATCACTAATATTTGTTATCACTAATATTGATACCAATATATGAAATATATTAAACAATGACACTTAGGTTTTTCATAATGTATAATCAAAAGGCAAGGTACTAGATATAGTGAGAGTTAATCTATTTTCCTCTTTATTTCTTAAAATGACTGACAGAACCAAAGGTAGTTATATACTTTACAACTGTTCTAAATAGCTGTATTTCTTCCCAAAGTAATTGTTAGAGAATAAGCAATGTCATCTTTGGGATTCCACATAACTCCCTACGAAAACTCATTAATAGAGGGTGGGGCAAAGCTAAAATTGTAGCTTTACAATTGTGAGTATGTGAAACACAGTTTATTCTTGCATTATTATTTGTTATACTATTTTCCATATGAACAACTGTACACCTATGTTTGCCCCACCCTATATTTTATATTATTTAATAATAAATGGCAACTGCTGTCATCAGTTTATAAAACAGCACTGTACACAGATGAACCTCAGTCTAACTGCCTTTAGGAGCTAATGCAATTAGTGAGCTTAAACACCATTACACTGAAGCAGATGTATTTTATCTGTGGAAGCTTGGGGAAATGGGTTTCTTGCTCTTCTCCAATTCCTATTATTTACCGAATCAGATAAGAAAGAATAAATAAGCATAATTTTAAGGGAATAGTGATATGGGAATAAACCCACAGGTGAACAGAGCTCATAAAAATGTAGAAGACAAAGAAAACAAAAGTATATCAGAGCTTTGAAGATGATTTAGGAATATATAATTTGATAGTTCAAGCAGAGGTATATCAAACACATTTACTTCTTAATAAATCTAAGCACTAGATTCAATTTTTTAAAACTTAAATAATTCCAGATAAATAAAATTAGGCTATCATATTTAAAATATATTAATAAGCAGCTATTATCCACTAACTTAGTGTCTATAAAGATGCTCTAATCAGTTTATAATATACTAAGAGAAAAAAGTGTAATATAAAATTATAGATATAAAATTACAATGATGTATTTAAGAAAACCAGAAATAACTCTGTAGGGAAGAAAAAGGTTAGAAGGTGAAACAATAAATTTTAATAATAAATTTTATTAGGATGGTGGAAGTGATTTTTCATATAGATTTTTAAAGGTTATATTAATATTTTATACTTCAATACAAAAATATCATACTGTTATTAAACAACTGTAGAGAAAGCTGTAAGAAGTAACAAGATGTCACAATGTACTTTCTACACCTACTGTAATAGTGGTTTTTAATCACGATGTTGTAGTTTACTAAATTGTTTATTCTAGTACTTACATGAGGACAAAATAAAAGTTATCCCCACAAGAACATTCTTCCTTACTTGCATTCAATGTTCTCATCAATGGGGGAAGGGATGAAGTAACAGGTGCTGAGCCATAAATGAAACTTCTAAGCACCCATTTACTTCTGGCTGAGACCTGTCCGGTGTGCCTGGCAAATGAGCACCATTCTGTGTGTGTGTTATATCAGGTGTGTTTGAGACCCTTGTACCATAGTGTCACTGAGAAAAGTGAGCAAATGTTTTTCTACTTACTTTGCCATTGCTGACAATACCCCTTTCTCCGGGACGCAGCTTAAGTACATCTTGACAGAACAACTGGTGAGTTCGAAAAATATTCACCCCAACGGTATTATATTTTTTCTCAAAAGCATCCTTATCCATCCCCTAAAGCATGAAAATAATAAAATGAATACGAGAACAGTAGATATATTAAATTATTTTCTTAACAAAGCTTATTTTAATACATTAGTGTAAAATTTAAATTATACTCAATTATGACAAAAAGTTTTTTCTTCAGAAACCATATTTTTTTGAACTCTTTCTTTGCCAAGTCAATTACAATATTTGTATATCTTTTTACAAGTAGATTGTTTGCTATTTATTCTTTGAGAATTTCAGGTAGATTATTGATTAGTAAAATGCTAGGGAACATTAATTTAAATAAAATTTAACTTTCAAGAAAAGAAATAAAACGTTTATTAAATTTTGAACTCAGTAACCCCCATTTTGGTGTGCTCAGTAAAAAAATAGTGTTTAAAATAAAAAAAACCTATCTTACCCCATCATACTAACCCCACAAAATCAACTTAGAAACAGAGCATTTAACTTCAGAAACACAAAGTAATCTATGGTCAGAGTCATAAAATATATGGACATGCACAGAAAATAAATCACAATTAAGTTCCTTACATCGTCATACTAGGACATACTTTTCCGTATCAGTACTTATCAAACATTAATGTGTATACAAATCACTTTAGTGCCTTGTTAAAATATAGATTCTCCCTCAGCAGATTAGCGTGGAGCCTTACATTCGGAACTTCTAACACATTCCCAGGTGCACCTGGGATGATAGAAAAGTTTCCCCTGCAATGTCCAATATAGTAGTCACAGCTACAAATGGTTACTGAGCCCTGGAAATGTGGCTAGTATGACTGAGGAGCTGAATTTAAAGTTTAACTTAAGTTTAAAATAGCTACATGTAGCTAGTGACTACAATACTGGATAGTGCAGCCCTAGATCTCCTTACTTCTAAAATCTCTATCTCAATTACCCCCTCTCTGACCACAAGCTCCTGACCTTCCAGCTCATTCATTCCAGTGTCACCAGACCAAGCATTACTCAACACTTTCAGTCCACTGACCCTACCACTTATTTATTGTCCATTGTACTTCCCATATCATAATTTTCCTCTCATCCATATTATACCCTGGAATCCTTTACTGTAACATCAACCTTCCATGCTCAGTTCCCTTGACTGCTTCCTGTCAGTTATATTCTCCTGGAAAAAACCCAACTCTGGATAAATACAACTCTACTCTTCTGCAATTGGACCCAACAGTGTTAACAAAGATGGGGGGGGGGGGAACCATGCAACCAATGATGATCTCACTTTCATTTTGTGGTCATTAACCTCAAGTGGGTCCTCAGAAATCTTCCCACACTAATGTACTGAATTCACTTTCTCACTCTCAGAACAGAAAAATATTTTGACATTTTCTCCTCTTTCCTCAAGCCTCCAACAGCACCCACTAACACTCTAGTACTTAGCTAATGACCTGACTTTCTTCTGAAAATAGAAGTAATCAGAAGAGAAGTACTTATCTTGCTACCACCAAATACATCTACCCTTCTGCACCTGTACCCATATATTCTGCCTTTCTGCTCGTTAAAATGGATTAATGATTCCTGTTCTTAAGACCAACACTTAACACTGTCCATTGGATCTCAGCACCTCTTATCTACTCAAGAACATTGCTCCCCTCAGTATATATCTCCTTTCTCATTATTTGGATAGATTGTTTCCATTAGCATACAAAGAAGTGACATCTCCCAAATTTAGAAATTCTTACTTGATCTCAAGTCCTATTCTGCCTACAGAATACTTCTCTTCCATGTATAAGTTCTTTAAAAGAACTACACTTGCTGTCTCTGTTTCCTGTGTTCTCATTTTCTCTTGAATCTAGTTCACTTTTATGTTTATCACTCTACTGAAACTATTCTTATGAAAGTCACCAATGACCACCTCAACAGATAAAGTGGTCAGTTATGAAGCTGGATTTCAGAAACATCTGGCATAGGTGATCATTCCCTCCTTGAAATACATTCTCCATTTAGATTCCAGGATACTGTACTCTCCTGGTTATCTACCTAACTCATTGGCTCTTCTGTCTCCTTTACAGGATCATCCTTTCCTTGTGTTCCTCTATATTTTGGATTGTTCCAGGGCTTATCTTGCAACCCCTCTGTTCTCTATCTCACCCTCACTTTTGAGGCTTCTCATTCAGTTTTTTAGCTTGAAATTACATATAATGTTGATCATCCTTAAACTGACTTTCCAACCCTTCACTGATTTCTACACTCATTTACTCTACTGTCAACTCAACATTTCCACCTGAATGTCCAATAGGCATCTGCAACTTAACATGCACAAAACTTAGCTCTTGATCCCCTATGTGTCCAAATCTTCTCTTCAATCTAGACTTCCTCTCAAAAAAAAAAAAAAAAAAAAA